AACAACAACAACAACAATGTTCATTACACTACTGAAAATGATTTGTCAAAATGTCACAATTCTATAAAACTTAAATCTTCTGAAGATCATTTCAGTCCAGGAGTTGTTTTCCTTAGCCAGTCTCCCTTGCCTCCCATGCCAATGTGTGACTCATTCATGGAGGCTTCTCTATATGGGATTCATGGCATTTCTTCTCCAGCAGCTTATTAACTTTATTAGATTATTCGTATTTGAACAATTATTATTAACTTTATTAGATTACTCATATATGAACAATTAAATTAATAAATATGCTGTAGACATATCTTTAATTATTTTTTTTCAAGTGGACTTCAGAAAGTTTCATTGAGATATAAAAAGGCCACTGAAGAGATAACACATTGGAAAACATGGACCAAATGTCAAACAGGGCTTTTTTTGAATGACAACATGAACTTTCTTCAAAAGGCTGTTGGCATACGTACTGATTATAATTCCTTCTGCACTGACACATAGAGCCAGAGCAATAACCTTGTAAGACCATATATTCAGTACAGGAGCAGGGAGGGTGTGGGAGGAAAAGGGCTACCAGAGAAACAGTTTATCATTTTGCAAGATGTAATTACCCATACCTCCTTTTGTAAGAATACAAAGATGCAATCTAAAAGTATAGCATCTTGAACAGTTGCTTTATATGGGACACAGTTTTCTAGATCCTATTTTCAGCTGTTTACTGCATTCACCAGTCACATTAATAAATGATTAAAGTTAAGAAAAAATGTTTCCTCCTTTAAAAACTCAGGTATATTCTCAACAAATGAATATTGTTCAAAACAAAATTACTTTATTTCATTGTTTCTTATTATGACCAAGAAGTCCTAGTGTGGTGCTGAGGGTTAATGCACTGAATTGCAAGGTCAGTTTGAATTGCAAGGTTGATGGTTCAAACACACCAGCCACTCCTTGGAAACTCTATACAGGGTTGCTATGGATCAGAACCAACTCAGCGGCACTTAACAACATACTGAATAGTAATAATCTCAGGGATCTTGAATGGGGATAAGGCAGCTTCCTAAAATGATTAAAACCACTTTTAGTGTCAGCATTTAGACCAATAGGACACATTGCATCTACAAGTAGTTCCTCATCAGTTTTTCTACGATTTTATGTATGTAAATGAACATGAAACTTTTTTTTTTTTTTTTTTTAGCAGTGTGCTTATTATGGAGTCCTGGTGTGGTACTGTAGGATATGGTCAGTGTTCACCCCCACCAGTCACTTCAGAAACCCTGGACAGGGTGCTGTGAGTCACAACTGACT